TTATACTAATGGATTGGGTGTGAGAAGTGGAAAACGAGGAAAAACTGAGGATGATGAGGTATGTACAGAAGCAGATGATGCTCCCGACGAGGCCACACAACGAATACGAACGTTTGACATGGTCAATGCACGCTAAGTCGAACGACAAATAGAGGAGGTAGATGCCATGGTTACATAGTCTTCTCCGCAAACGTTCGCTGGGTTGTTTCGGGTTAAGATTGGGTCACAGTTGAAATGTTTCTCAACAAGCGTTTCGTTTTCATGCTGATATCTGGGTTGGGGACAACAATGAAAAGTTTTAAGAGGAAGTGAAAGGGAAGGAATTCTCAAAATAAACAAGCGATTCAGGATTTATGAGTAGGAACGTAGGCGACCCGGTACACATGAAATAAAAAGAAATAAAAATGCGAAACACCTACAGTAGCCACTTTTTACGATTTATAATATGGTGGAAACGCGTACAAAACTGTCATCACACGTCTGGTAACCGTTGAAAAGGGCCCCGTTTAGTAAGAAAAAACAGTTTCTGACAGTAAAACAGGATCTGATGAGAAAGCCGCCACACGAAGAATGCGAAAATCGCCATTTCAACAGTATTGAATGTCTCTCAAAGCTATCCAAGCGGTCGGCCGGCCAAAAAAAAGAGAGGTAGGATGGGAAGGAGGGCGACGAGGTTGACCTAATGCACTTATAAAGGCAGATAGGTAAATCATAATATTATGGAGGTAGAGAAGAATAGGAAGACGCGAGTATGGTATTGCGCAACGCGCGCACACACACAAAGATCGACGACTCGTCGACATATCTCTATCAGCTATGCCTCTACCGTTGATGGTTTATGAGATTTGTTCAGTTAGATGCGCTGGAGTAGATAAAACTTTTTGGTGGATGAGAGCTAGAGGTTCTTCAGTGGAGGAGGGTGTGGACCACTCTTTTCTGATTCAAAAATAGACACTATTCAAGAAGTCTGAAAGCTAAGAAAATGGATAGTTTGATACTCTCAGATTCGAGGAGAATCCGAAATTTTAAAAATTCTTAAAATTGAAAGTTTCACTTTTTCAAAAATTAGAAAATTTAGGAAAATTCAAATATTGAAGGAAGTCCAGAAGCTCCGAGGATTCCGGAAAATGAATAATTACAAAAATTCAAAAGTTTCAAAATTTCAAAAAATGAAAAATAAATGTTTTTTACATGAATAATAGAAAAAGCAAATTTGAAATATTTCAAATTTCCAAAATTCCGAAAATTCGAAAATTCAAAAAATGCGAAGTTTTGAAATTTCGATATTTTTATATTTTCAAATTGTCTGAAGTTCGAAAGTTGCAAAACTTTCAAAATTCCAACAATTCAAAAATTCCCAAAAGTAAAAATCTTTCAAATTTTCCAAGATTCGAAAGTTTCGAAAATTCATAAAATTCAAAATGTTTATATAACAAGTAGTGATTTTCAAAAGTTTTAATTTTGGGAAAAATATTCAGAAAGTGTTACTATTTCTGTTATATTTGTTGAAAAAACACGTTGCTCCCAAAAACTCAACGATCCATCTTTTGGGAGATTTGAAAGATTCACGTGGCTCACAAAAATTTTTGAAATTTCAGTACTTTGATGTGAAAATTAAAACTTTTGAAATTCACTACTTGTTATATATTGAAACTTTCAAAAATCGAAAAATGCAAAAATTCAAATTTAGAAAAGTTCCGAATTTGCTAAAATAACAGGATTTCACTAAATTTTAAGTTTCCAAATTTTCAAATTGTCTGAAGTTAGAAAATTCAAAAAATTCAAAGTTTTCAAAATTTCTGAAGTTCGGAAGTTCCAAAATCACAAAAATTGCGAAAATTCGAGAAAGAAATATTTTCACTTGAATGAAAATTTCCAAATTGAAAAGATTCCAAAAAAAGTAATCTAGCTAACTTAAAATTTCAGAAACCTTCTAGAATATCTCTAAAGGTTCATTTTCTAATTTAATGATCAAGAAATTCATTTCAAAAACCAAAACCAATTAGTCAACTTAACCAGATCACTAAAATTTCGATAATTGGATTCAAGGACACAACAATCTCCAAGTTTTTGTTCTCTATCATTTACGGACCGAATTCCGACACGCGCCACCTCTTGTTATCAAATCCAGAGTGATACGGATCGGAAGTGGCAGTTCGCTTTTGGAATAGTCATTAATTCAAATAGGAGGTGTGAATTCTAACAAATTCGGATTCGTATAATGAATCTGACTTCCAGGATTTTTATTCAAACTGACAAGGAGAATTGGAATTTGTGAAGTTGACAACAACAAAGGCGAACGGATGACTAGGGGCACCAGAAGTGTGAAGTTGAATCTTTGTGTTAGAAGAAAATAGAAGGGGGACGAAGAGAAAAGAAGATCCCCATGATGCACACACGTCCTGAATACCAATCATCCTCCCGAAATGCTCACCCAACTAGTATATTAGATCATCCGGAGCCAAGAAGAGACAACAAGGACCACGCAACGACAACTCATATGACAATGAAGATTTGTTCCAAAACAGAGAAAAGGAAAAATCTGTGGAATGGCGGAATGTGGAAAAAGGATGAAAAATATATGAGAGGGTGGAGCTGAACGGATTTGGAAATTTTAGAATGAAAAAAGGAGGGTGTGGTTGAATTTGAGAACGGTTTTCTTAATAGAAAATGGGTCAATTTGAAAGATCCTCAAATGAAATCTGAGGCGATATTCACGTAGTGTTTTGGAGAATAGTTTGTTTCTATTTTTTCTCTCTCCCACTCTCGAAAATTTTGTTTTAAAAAAAAGTGAGAATTGAACGAAAACGCTCAGTTTTTTTTTGTAAAATACAAGTTTTTACTTTGTTTAATGTTAAACTTCAATTTACCTCAATTTCTTGTTTTAAAAAGGATATATTGCTAAAACAGCTCTATGAAAACTTTATGATCTACTTGCATGCCTATATTTTGTATCAAATTATAGGAAACCTGTTGTTTTAAATTTACAGTACTTTGTCTAAAATAAGAGAGGTATTTTATCTAATGGAAACTTACTCACGCCGTCAAATTTCAGTTTAATTATCTCGGTTTCTGTGAAAGGTATCACAATTTGGTCAACTTATAAAATATTGGTGATACTGTGATAATCAAATTACCAGTTGACAAATTATTGATATCTTTCTCAAGAATCGAGATAATTGAGCTCGATTGATTGACGGCTCGGGGGGATTTTGATTAGAAAAAATACAGTAAGTGGCAAAAGTGTTGTTCAATGTTTCTGGAAATCATTTACAAAAAAGTCCAACTTTCAGTATTTTTGGGCAATCTCATTTCGTTTGTTTGGAAAATTACTCAATTGATTTATTTTTTTAATGCTTCTCCAGAAGAACATGCTTATAAATACGGCCTCTGGACCACATTTGAAAGACTACAGCATTTTTATTGAATATCAAATAGTGTCCGATACCAGCAACCATAAGCTAATCCAATCCAATACATTTCCACACTAAAAACCAATTTAATCCTATTGTCCTAGTTTTTTCAAACATTGCCCGTTCCTTTCTCTCAATCCGAACCAGAAAACCGGCGCAGGTGGGCTTTCTCAATAAGGCAACATGAAAATTTACAGCTCACCAAAGAATAGAGACTGCGAAGCTTTCTTCGTAATGAAAGGAAATGGGGGAAGGAAAGAGGACAAGTGATTTATATGTGTCCTCTGTCCCCCTCTTACAATGACCAGCAATTTTGCAGGTGTTATGGATCCAGGTGTATGAGACGTCTGTCGGTCTGTTCGGATTTGCGACCTTGGAAGACAACGACTCTTATGTCTGTTGCGCGAAACATTCCAATTTTCCATGGAAAAAAGCGTGAAAAACCGCGGCCTTGGTTCGCTGCCCGCTAGTTAAAAGTTAATCTATGGCATCAAAAAGCGCGCCAAATTAAAAAAAAAGAACAGAAGCAAGGTCCAACAAGACGAACGCTTTAATTAAATTTGAAGGTATGTGTGTTCACATGGATGAACTCAAAAACCCGGACCGCGCGACCGGGTCGAACAAATAAAATAGTGGTGGATTAGTGGCCCCCGATGTTTGGGATAGATGACCGCTTGTCGGGGAAAAAGACCTTATTAGAAGAGACAATTCTAATAATGTTGTCTAGATTGCGGATGAGCATGCGAGCGGCAAAGCATGTTCGGTGCGGTTGAACGCATGGAAAAAATAGCTTTGCTAATGGAAGAAATAGTAAATTAGCGGTACCATGAAAAGGAGGAGAAGAAGGATGCGCGAAATTAAATTACCTTGTGGGTTGGAAGGTTCCAGAAGGCCCAGGTTCAAATAGATGAAGGTAGAAACGAAAATTAGGAAAGGGGACTACACAATAGTGGAATCATAGGGAAACAGTTTGACTCATTAATGTAAAAGTTCAAAAACATGAATAGTAAAAAATTACTGTATTTCTTTCAATAGAATCCCACACAAATTTTCGAGGTCAACTACCTTGCTTTCTGAGAAAGATATCAAAAGCTTGTCAACTGAAAAATTGTTTATAATAACACAACCAACAATTCATCAGTTGACCAGCTTTCGATATCTTTGTTTAAAATTGAAATGATTGAGCTCAAAGTTGACGATTTGGGTAAGATTCTTCTTGAGGAAATAAGCTATGCATTGATTAAAATTTTGGAAATCTTGAAATATCATTTTTGGGAAATACTAAACACGTGTTTTCATTTAGACTGGTTTACGAAATTCCGATTTGTGGCTCTCCGTATTCTGTAGAGCCACCATAATGGGTTTTCCGAATGCGATTCTCATTTTCAGGATTCAAGTCGTAAAACAACGTCTAAAATTGCCAATCCTAGAATTGCGAATTTCCAATTTATTGTGTTCTTTCTAAATTACGAAACACCGACCGGGGACCCCTCCAAAAAGTGTTGGCAATTACCGCAAAAGCAGTATGATCCGGACCGGAATAAGGAAAAGTGTTGGATATGGGTGGTCCGTCGAAACCTAATCGGGTCATAAAAATGCAAAGTGCAACCACACACAACCGACAACAACGGAAAATTGAACGGTGTTTTGAAAAGGGAAAGAGAATAGGGGGTAAAGAAGAAAGAAAATGAGAAATGACCACCCATGGAGAAGGTGCATGTAGGGCCAATGAATGTTGAAATTGGCATTACGAAATGAATGGAATGAATAGTAGAAAATGAAATGTGAGAAAGAAACAAGTATATACAAGAATTTTTCAATTGCTCTGAAAGTTTGAAAATTTCAGAGTACACTGAACAGAATGAAATTTTCAGCTTTGTGATTGACAATTGATGTCAAAATTAGCACTGAAACAAGAGTTATGGCAGTTTGAATCTTTTTTATCTCGCTTCATTGAAATTGTAACAAAAATTAGTCAACTATACTAAAACTAAGACTGAAGTTATATTTTTGTTTGATTTTTTCTGATATTTTCAGGAAAACTGGAGAACTGTAAAAAACGTTTTAGAGCTTCACATTTTACGATTGTAAAAAATCAACACATGATATCTTCCTGTTTGGTACTGTATAAAAAATGTTGACTGAAAAAATTCTTTCAAAATTTAACTAAAAAGAAGCTACCGTTAAACCTCGAATGTAAGGACCCTTTTACTTTTAACTTCAAATCCATTATTCTCAGTTACTGTGAAATAAATCAAAATGTTATACACTGATAAATTCTTTATCATATTATCAGCCGCATTTTATCAGTTGACACACTTTTGATATATTGCATAGAAGCTGAAACAATCGAGCTCAAACATGACAGTGTTGAGGCGCTTCTATTAGGTTGGAAGGAAAGTAACTGTCCCTTGTTTTATCTGTGAACAATACAAAAACCAGATTAAGCCAACATTAGCAGTATGCACCGTCGTGTTCCATAGCATGTTGCCAACATTCAGGTATTTTGTGGCTATTCCACCTCCAAAAGCGAGCTAGCCGCAGATCAAAGAATTTATTTTTTAGTTTTTTTTTTCATAAATGGTGCAAAATTCATCACCCTCTAGATTACTTCGTATATCTCCGAATAACCAATAATCTGATAGAGCCGAGTCGGGACCATAAGTATGTGAGGGAGAACCGTGTCGATGAAGCGGCTCAGGTCTGACTTGACTGTCGTTAAAAAATGAAAAAAACCGCATGTTCACGGAAAGTCACGTAGTACCTTAGCCGCTTTGGCTGGACGGTTCTTCTTTACTTCCGTGAAAGTTCTAATTTTGTTTTATCAGACTATTGGTTATTCGAAGATATACGACTTCATCTGGAGCGTAAGAACTTTAACATTATCGATGAGAAAAAAAAGTACTACAGCAATACTTTGATTCGCGCCCAGATGGCTTTTGGAGGGATGGTATCCACGAGTTACCTAAATGTTGACAACATGCTGTGGATCACGACGGTACATACTGTCAATCTTGGATTAATCTTGTTCTTGTTTTATTTACTAATTGAATAATGGACAGTTACTTTCCTGCCAACCTAATAGGTTTTACTATTTTTTTTTCGAAAACATGTTCTAGTCAGACAAATGCTTAGAAAATATAAAGGTAATACAATTGGAAAATTCTTAAGGTACAATCTCCCGTTCTTGTTGAAAAATTATAACCGTGCACAAAACTCCAGAATCTTCCTAGATGACATTCTGGTGAAAAGTGGGAATGTTTTGGCAGGCTGACATCCGAGCAACATGTAAGTACACGTTCAAGTGGATGTGTGTGGGGTGGTTGACCAATTAGCGGATAAGCGTTCTCCAACGTTCATGAATATATAAAAAGGAGAGGGAGAAGGACGTCGTGAATTTCTGGTGTGGGGTTTGTAATAACCATAATAAAGTGGGAGGCAAGGAAGAAGGGGTTCATAATGAAACTGGAAGACACTGAAGAGAGCTTCGATTTTTCCAAAAATGATTCATTAAGCTTCAAAGTCTATGAACCTTTTTTCAAAAAAAAATAGAAAAGTATCAAGGGGGTGTTAAAATCACATGTGAACGCAGAGAAAACAAGAGATGCGCTGGAGGCTTGTGCAGCACAAAACTTCTGTTGTAAGACATCAGCCGGGAGATAGCGCTGAGCACAAAATATATCCGGTGAGAGAACAAGGGGTCCTTCCCTCCTTCACCGCCGATATTCCCCCCATCATTCGCTCCTCATTTCAATTCGTTTTCTTCTTCTTCTTTGCTTTTTGCTACCCACACGCTTTTTGACTGCGTAATTTTTTGTCTGTCTTTTCCGCGTTGACTCGAACAGTGTGTAATGTGTACCGCCCCGGGTTTTTCCACAGAAACGCAACTTGGACACCAATCCGATTAGTTTGCTGCTGGGACAAGAATTAGATATTCAATAGTGCGCAAAAGTGGACAATGGAAAAGGAGGATCAATTACATAACGAATGCATGTTGCAAAAGGGTGGTGTAGAAAAGGAGAAGGAATCAAGATGGGGTGTTTTTTACAGAAATCTTATCTTACAGAAATTTTTAAACTTTAAAAATTCAAAAAGCGGGAGAAAAGGTAATACTGGGTGAAGCGGCGAGGCAAGCAATTGGAAAAGAAGCTAAACAGAGAGGCCAAAATTGGTTTCTGAGCAAATGGAATGTATGTACAGCGATAAATCACAGAATCAGACGCATGACGACGACGATGATGATGGCGAATATCAAGGTTGACGGACGGGTGAAGGCTGATTGGCATATCTGCAAACAAGGGTTTATAACGAAATCCCCAGGAGAATCGAAAACTAACGAATTCCAATTGCTCAAGACTTTTGACTCTGACGCCAGTCACGGATTTGATGAATTTTGAGATATGACAATCGGTGGTGCATCCCGGGATGAAGAGTTCGTGTACGTCGTCTGGATCTTCTGATGTGGAGTTTCGGAAATAGATCTGGAAAAATAATATTTCAAGAAAAGCTTGAAACTAGCCAATTGCAGCCCACCCAATCTGTGAACTTTAAACTCAATTTTCTCAGTTCCTTTGATAAATATCAAAAAATTATCAACTGACGGAATATTGGTGATATTATAATATATAATTTATCAGTTGACAGAATGTCATTATGTTACTTAAAAATTAAGATAATTAAACTCAAATTTGAAGGTTTGGGTTGGCTTCTTTCAGAACAAAAACGTAATTTTTCATTTTTCTAGAAAATAAAATAGATTATCAAGAGAAAAGTGCATTGAAAGTTGCGTAAAATTGGCAAGGGCATTGAAAAGTTGAACATTTCCGCTTCTGGTATAACAGAAAAGGGCGAACATATTTTTTACAAAAACTAACAAAACAATTTTCAAGTCAAATTTCACTTAATCTATCTTGGTTCTTGGGAAAAATTTTCGAAAAACCCTAAACTCAATTTTATTTATATTATGAGAGAGGTTTTGGCAATTGACCATTCATTGATATTTTTCCCGAGAGCCAAAAAAACTTGAGCTGACAATTAGGTTACACTTTTATTCTAATTTTCCCCGGTGCGTTGTCTTCTACAGTAATCTGGACTGGTGGTTTTTCGTTTATCTCAATTTCTTAAATAAAATAAAAAAAATTACCCGAAACATGGTCATAAACCGCGATGCACACCTGTCCGGATTACTGTACAAAACAATGCACATAAATACCTCTCCCATTTGGTTCAAAAACTTTCATTATCTTTTACCTTTATATTATTTCCCGTATGAAGTTCCACCATTATACAAGCCGTGTATGGAATCAGCTGATGGTTACTGATTCCAAGACCATAGAGTAGTGCGGTCAACGTTCCGTCGTGCTGAATAACCAAATAATATGACTTTTGTCTTCGAAATTTTAGTTACTGAAGAATATAGCAACGCTTTCTTTGTGTTCAAATGTTGGGATGCCAGAACTAAACTTTCCGACCATTGATCAATCATGTAGCCAGCCCTGAATACTTCTTATGTTTCTTTTTCATAGTTAATGTGTTAACTTACATATATTTTGCTTTTTCTCTGCTATTGAAAAGTTGGAGTCTCGCGATTCTTCGAATTTCTGTGATCGTATCCAGTAAGCTTCGATTATTGACCTTTTGCTCCACCCATTCTGGGAATGGGAGGCCGTTATAGTGTTCTAGAATAATATTGTAGATATCTTTGATATTCGCGTAGCGAGTCACGTGGCCGGTATGGTTTGAAATCATATCCAACTCGGATTTGTATCTGGAATAATGTTGTTCTATTTGCTGCAAAATTGAAACACTTACTTTTCATTAATATCTCTTTCGATTTTCTTTCGTTCATCCGCCACTATTCTCTGATAGTGTGGACATTGAATTTTGCTCGGACGGAGCATCTAAAAATGTAATTTTTCAATTTCTAATTCCATTTGCATACTGTAAAACCTGTAATAGAAGGACTTCAATTCTGAGCTCAATTATTTCTGGTCTTGTGCAAAATATCAGAAATGTGTCAACTGAAAAAATGTTCATAATATTATGATGAACAATTTCTCAGGTGACAAATTAAAACAGTTTTTAACATGAACAGTGATCAATTGGCTCAAAGTTAAGAGTGACACTTCCATTACACTTTTTATGGTGAGTAAGGTACCGGGTCTGGCTTCCCATTGGTACGGATTGGAATCGGTTGCCAGTGTCTAAACTTTCCATCATTCCAAATTTGCAAACCGTCCGGCGGGAACAATGTGGTGGCTACACACTGCGCCGTTTCAATCGCACGATCCGCATCGGAAGCACGGATCGTAATCTAAAAATAACTTTACAAATTCATCACTTGATTCTAAGATTGTTGAACGATATTATATACATTATCGTTTAAAAATATACAGTATCGGTTTAAAAGATATACCAAATATAATTTTCAAGTCGAGTTTGACCTTTTCAGAAGATTATAGCTTGGTTTTCAAATTACCGATTATTTTCTAACTTTAGAGTGTGTAAAACAAACCTAGATCAAAAATTTCACATTCACAGAATTTTTGAAAATTCCTACTTTTCCGCTTTTCGTTAATTTCTGGAAGCCTCCTCTTTTCGGGCCGTGTTTTTTACTGAAAATATGAAAAAAAACAGATAATGTTCAGATATCGGCCAATAGCTAAAATACTTGTAATTTTCAAAAAATTCGGTTTATGCAAAGTTTTCAAACTAGGTCTGGTTTGTACCCTCCAAAATTTTCAAAGTGATCGAAAACTTGACAGCCAAGCCATAAACTCCTGTAAAAAGTGAGAATAGCCGAAAATCAACAAAAAAAAATACGTGTTTCTTATTGCTGTAGGAGAATTTCACCTTTTTTCGATCGAAAACGGATAAAACCGAACTTTGATACCGACGACGCAAGAACCTGCCCAGTTTCGTTGCCTGATCAATGCCGACCTGGAAGTAAAAAAATGAGAAAAACATTTAAAGATAAAAGAAAAGCCCAATAGCCAACATTTGTCAGTTGGTTCCATCCGCGAGGCCAATACGTCTCGTTGTAAGGGTCACTAGGATACGGTAGACTTTCTGGAGCACGGTCACCGTGGCGCCAAACGGCCAACAAGAATTCCACCTCGGCTACACATGGTAAGAGTAGCGAACTGAAGACCAAGTAGAGAAATTGCATTTCTGCAAACGTTGAATGTTTTGGGGACAAAAATGTTGAGTGAATAGGTCAAATTGTGTTGGATGAGTGGAAAGTTGAGGAATTAGATATGGTGTTTAGTTTTGCATTTTTTCGGTCAGGAATACAGAATTCTTCAAGCGTCATTTTATATTTCTATAAAATAAAAATTGAAAGAAATCATTAAATTAGTTTTCGTTAAATGAGAAAGTGAAGGAAGTCGTTAAATTAGGTAATGACTGTGTTTTTCCTTTTTTTTTCCGCTTTCGAAAATGAGAATACTGAAATTTGTTCGATTCAACATCCAGGAAGTCTCCCACTAGCACATATCCAAAATATCTAAAAATGGAAGATGCTTCTCCAGATCAGAGACCATACAAGATTCAAATGCTACTGAGCAATCAAAAATCCAAAATTTTCGTTTCATCACTAATAAGGAATTTCCGGATGTCTCATCGTTTTTGAACATTTTCTAATCCTATCAAGGTGTCACCGAAAAAAAATTCGCCATCCAAAAAACAGAATCATCAAAAAATAAAAAGTTGGACCATCAAGTCGCAAAAAAAAATAAATTGGTGGAAGAGAAATACACGAAAAAGCATGTGTGTTTCTTGTGTGTAGTAACACATCTCATCATCCATCGAGATGTTGTTAAACTTCATTGTTGTGACTCTCCCAGGATTGACATGGGGCTTTTGAGACAAGATAAAAATTGATAAGTCGTGTCTCTTCCATCATTTTTTTTCTTGTTGGTCTCTCTTTTGGTTGCCACTGACTTGTGTTTCGAGGAGGTTATGACACCAAGAGATGATAGGATGGCAATCAGAAGTAATCAAATTTTTTAATGATGTTGCTGTTGTTGGATGGGAGAAAAAATCAAATGAAAATGCTACAAGTGGTCTAGCGACGACACATGACACCAATAACCCATCTTCTCATTTAACATCCACTAGTCTACTAATTGGATGCTCCTGATGGGAGAGAGATAGAAAACATATAACAGGAAAACATGAAAAAAATAGCTGTTAAATGAATCGAAACACAACATGTGTTATTTGCAGTCAATCTCATTTTTCGTTTTCCTACAGTATGCCCAAAGTTCAACTAATTTTATATAGCAGCAAACTAAAACCCGTCCCAACTCCAAACTCAATTTTCTCGAATCTTGCGAAAGATATCAAAAACGTGTCAACTGAGAAAATATTGGTGATTCCATGATTATATCAATTGACCAAATTTTGATATCTTCCACGGGAATCGAGATAATTGATTAGAAGAAATACGGTATCTGGATTCAGGTTTCTTTCTTCTACGAAGTGTCAAACTCTTCTGCCTCAAGTTCTACTGTTGTTTTTGGAGCTCTTAAATAAGAAATTGAGATCAATTTAAAGTTTGGTGGTCACTTTAGCGTACAAAAACAAATGAAATTCAAAAACTGGACTTTGGAAAACATTTGAAAGTTTTACCGATGATGGATAAGCGAATTTTCATGACGGTATGATGAAAATGTTGTTAGTAAACCGCTTTTACTAGCTTTTTGTTTTGAATACGCTATCAGTTCAATCGAAAACGATTGAATAAAGGACTGCAGATTATAGTTTTTTCCGACTGGTTTTTTTTTGAATTTTCTGAAAATACTACGAAAAGCTTTTGGGTGTATTTTCAAACACTGTTAAAAATTCAGGAAAGATGTACCGTAAACGCTCATAGAATCCCACATTAAGATCAATTATCTCGATTCCTGTGAAAGTTATCAAACATTTGTCAACTGATAAATTATATATCGTAATATTATCAAAATTTTATCTGTTTACTAATATTTTATAACTTTCACAGAAACCGAGATAACTGAGTTTAAAGTGGACGGTTTGGGTTCTATCTGAGGAAATACAGTAGTTTGCATTTTTCAAGTTTTGTGAATAACATTTCAAATTTTTATCAATTTGTGAAAAAACCAAAAAAAAATTCAAAAGAAAAAAAAATTGAGTTCTTCAAGCATCTAATCCAAAAAACCAAAAAAGAAGGCAGAAGAACAAAAAAAAAGAGGATTGAAGACCAAGTGGTTCCTCTCCAAAAAAAAATTGTCCTTCAGCTAATTCATCAAATAAAGCTCTCAGAATCTTTACCCATTCATCAATTCAACCTCTCAAGCAGCTTTATTTTTCGTTCAAAATGAATCCTAACAAAAACGATTCGCCAAAACAAAAGACCTCATTCAAGACAAAAAAGAAGGAAGAAGAAGAAAGCGTGAAGAACCACAAGTTGCGGTTTTTTCACAGATTCCGATACCGATAAGATTGGTTATCTGGCAGAATGTGTAATGGTCGGATGGTTTTCACTTTAAGATTGATAACGTGCGAAAAAGATGATATAATACATCGATACAAGTTTGAGTTCGTATTGAAGGAATGATGGAGTGTCTGCAGAAGGCGTTGGAGGAGGAAGAGGAAGAAGAGAGAATGTTTCCACTTCTGATAGTGCAGACACAAAGATCAAATACGGGTTAGGTCAGAGACAATAAGTAACTGGAGAAATTGATAATTTAGATAAGATTCGTATTTTGATACTTTTTGTGATCAGCAAGAAAACAAAAACGGTAACGGACAAAAATTATTTTATTTTCATTTTTTGAGTGGAACAATGTCCATTCAGAAGCCCTGAAAAATGAGTCATCACTTTAAAAGTTGTCTAAAAATTTCAGAGTATCTTCAACAAATTTAAAACTTCATTTTTGTAACTGAACTTCTTGGAAAAATTCAAACGAAACGAGTTAAGCAGTTTTGAAGAGGCGCATACCGTGAACACTCTAATAGAACGCTATCTGAAAAGCCAATTTGAGCCCATGTATCTCATTTTCTGTGAAAGATATCAAAAAGTGGTTAACAAATATAATGTTGCTGATATCATGACGAACATTTGATTTGTTGACAACTTTTTGATATTTATCAAAAGAAGTGAGATATATAGGCTCAAAGTGGACGTTCCGGGAGCCGTTCTGTTAGAGTGTTTACGGTAGCTCGTGACAGTGATAGTTTCGACATTTTTGGCACTTGTACAGTTACAAACACCTCTTCAAAAATTGGCAAAGATGTTGTAAATTATAAAAAATTTTATATTTTCCGCTGAAAAGTTGAAATACGATGATTTTTTGTCCGGTATTATCTATATAGCTTCAGAATATTTTTTAGTTTCAAAAGGATCCAAATTTTTAATAAATAAATTCCGGACATATTCCAAAATTTCAATTCAATTATCAAGATTCGTGCATTTCTCTCATGAAATTGTATTTATTTCAGAATTTAAAGTCGAACACCGAAATTTTTATCTCTGCTGACGTTTTTTGAACAATTTCTGATGGTCAGAATTTTATAGTATGTAGATCCGTAACTTTTTTAGTTTATGGTCATCTTACGTTTAGCTATGCAGGAAAAACTGAAAAAAATTATGACGAAAATGTCAAATATCTTGGATCCAGGCTAGGTCGGCTAGGTCGGTTTTCGACGAATCAGACAGACAAATTTTCCACCAAAAATTTTTTCGGATAATCAGATATCTCCGCAAAAAAATTTTTGGAGGATTCTCAGTCGAAGAATCTATCCGAAAAAAGTCGGATAATTATCTGAAAAACTGGAATAATCGGATATCCAATTATCCGACTCCGACCGAGCTTGTTTCCAGTTAAAGGACCCAATTTTGAAAACAAAAATTTTTTTTGAAAATTTAGTTAAAGTCTTTTCTTTTTTCAAATTGATAGCATTATATACCCGCCCTCACATCTGAAAATTATAATTTCCTAAATTTTTCATTTGAATTCGTCACTTCTTTACATTAAAGTAACATCTCAAAAATCTGAAATTCTATTCTAAAATGCCAAACAAAATGATTCATGAAAAATATGAAAAATAAACTACGGAAGTTCAGAATATAACATTTTCTGCGATATGTGTTCGTCACTGCATCGAGATCCGCAGAAAATGACGACGAACGGAAAACACGTTAAATTTTTAATAGGTTCCAGATTTTTGGCATATTCCCACATATTCCCCACCATCCATAAAGTTCTTTTTTGCCTGGATTTTTTTTAGGGTGTTCGAGTTTTATATGAAAAACTTCATTGAATACTAAAAATGTGAGATAATAGGAAAATTTGTAAAATTTATATAATGGCAGTGAAAGAAATGGTGAAATTAGAAAAATGTAAAAATTAAGCTATCAATGAAAGGCGTTAGAAACGAGAAATACAGTTAGGTGACTAGATAGAGAGATTCATCTATTTGAGGCATGGAGTCTTGGGGGTACGGTACAGGTACAATTTATAAAACATAAATATAAAAGTTTCACGGTTGGGGTTGTTATAGGATCCCGAAAAATTTGAAAAGATACGAAATTGAGAATTTTAAAAAAATTAACATGGTGGCTTTGGTGGGCATGGGGTCAACCCGCGGCATTGTTGAGACTCCTCTGCCAGTCCGATGCAATGGCATCCGGATTCTCCGACGCATTGACGGCTTCTGAAATTAAAATTTTATAGATAAACTGGTGAATCTTAAACAAACCTTGTCTGAACTCCGACCTCGCAGGCAAGTTGAGTAGAGCATGGGCTCCATTCACACCTGGAAAATTGGAAATTTGAATTTCCAAAAAAACCAAGAAAAAATCTATCAAGTAGCCTACCAGGTATTCCAAGCGCATTGTGGGGCGCAGCTTTGGGAGTTGCACTCTCTCTCCTCTCGATCTGGTCCGTCGCAGTGGCAAGCAGCGTCTGGGCTTCCGGCTCCGTTCAAGCAAGTACGGGTACGAATAGACTGAAATTAAACTTATTGCCAGCTCTTTCATTGGTCCCAACCTGTCCTCCTCCGCACTCCTTATCGCACATTGACCAATGACACCATTCCGACCAGTTGCAGCAGTTTTGCCCCTCGCACAATGTGGTCTCAATACTTGGTCCTTGGCAAGTGGTAGCCTCTTGTCCGTTTGGTCCCAAGCATCCACGAGTTCTAGTTCTTTGTCCTGGTCCGCACTTGGAAGAGCAACCAGACCACTCACACCACTCGGTCCATTCGGCACATGGAGGTCCGTAGCAGAATTGGCTCTCCTCGTTTGGTCCTTGACAATCAGTTCCGTATTGGCAGACACGTTGTCTTCTCTTGGATCCAGATCCGCAGGAAGCTGAGCATGTAGACCACTCCTGCCATGGAGACCACAGAGAACATGGTCCTCCGTCGCATGGGCGTTGCTCAGTCTTTGGTCCTGGGCAGAGATGGTCACCGAAAACTCCTCCGAGGCAGGTACGTTGACGAACAGCGACACCTTGTCCGCAAGTGGCAGAGCACTGTCCCCAATCCTCCCATTGCGACCATTCTGGGCATGGTCCAGCGCTGCATTGCTCAGATTCGTAGTCCTTTCCTTCACATCTGTTGGTTCCGAGATGGCAGAAACGAGTTCTCTCTCGTTGTCCAGATCCGCAGCTAGCAGAGCAGGTCGACCACTCACACCATTCTGACCAAGTCTGGCATGGTCCCATGTTGCATGGCTCGGTTTCGAAGTCTGGTCCTTGGCAATTGTTAGTAGAGCATTCACGTCGTCTGGACTTGGCTCCATCTCCACAAGTGCAAGAGCATGCTGACCAGTCGGACCAATCGTGCCAAACTCCAGAAGTCACTGGTGGGTTCACACATCCTTGTCCGTCACATGCTGGTGGTGGTGGTGGTGCTGGACGGTATCTGGTCGGGTAGGGTTGTGGAAGTGGTGGCTGAGTGGCGGTATTGATGACTGGAGCGAGAACTGGTGGTGGTGGAGTTGGAGACTGTTGGACTGGAGCACAATATCCTCCTGGGCATGGATCGGCCTTTGGACGAGCTGGATGTCTTTGGTTGTAGTTCTCACGATATTGCGACATTCTTTGTTGGTAGAGTTGGGCGTGTTGGTCGAGTGGAGAACGCTCGAGTTGAGGTTGTTGCTGAGGTGGGAGTTGAGGTTGTTGGGGTTGTTGTGGTGGGGCTGGTCCGGTTTGGAGTTGAATTTGAGATTGTCCAGATTGCGGTGGTTGTGGCTGTGGCTGTGGTTGTGGTTGAGGACGCTGTTGTTGTTGTTGCTGCTGTTGCTGTTGCTGTCTCTGGAGCTGAAGTTGAAGTTCGTGGGATCCAGAGAACGACTGTGGTTGCTGTGGCGGGCGCTGTGGTGGCTGCTGTTGCTGCTGTTGTTGTTGCTGTTGTTGCTGAAGACGAGCTTGATGCTCACGATGCTGTTGCTCACGTTGTTGTTGCTCTCTCAGCTGCTGCTCTCTTTGTTGTTGCTGTTGCTGCTGACCACTTGGGTATTGTGGAGTACGTGGTGGGAACTGTGGCGCTGGTGGAGCTGGCATTCTTTGTGGGGCCGAGCGGGCTGGGCAACCACGACGCTGGATTTTTCTACCGTACTCGCAGGCCTGGGAACGCACTTCGTGCCCTGGAAACAGAATTTTGAAGTTGTTACAGTACCGGTCCATAAGATATAAGAAATCGTTATTAGTTGATTTTGGCTATTTTCTGAATTCTGGAGAATGATTAGCAAGGTTCCGGCCACTTTTAAAATGTTTGAGGATGTAAAACAGATATAGATTGGACATGTTGCATTCAGAACTTTAAAAAAATTTTTATGAATGCTAAATTTTTAATCTAGGCATGTTCTCTTTACAGGCGAGCTCCAGACTCTTGAAAATGTCAAAAATCAACTGAAAAACAAGTTCCTGTATATCATGTTGACAGGTACTGTATATCCCTGAATGAAATTACCGTTGATAGTGCAGTGAGACCAATCAGTCCAGTCTCCGACTCCTTGAACAGCCTCGTCTCCTTGTTCTAAAAATATTAGATCCAATTTTCATAAATTAGCTCCAGCTCTTACGCCTCTTCTTTCTGTCAACCTTATCGGTGGACGAAGCCAATCCGTCCTCCTCCAATGGTGGATGAGCATCAAACTGGTGACAGTCAACGACCAATTCCAACATTCGAACAATATCCTTCTTGTTCTCTGGCTTTTGCTCGACAAGGTCAATCTTGTCTTGAACCGAGTTCTCCGAGAACAAATAGCAGAAGTGTTTCTTCGTCTCATTATGCAAGTAGTAGTAGACCACTGAAACTTCTTTGTGCTTATCTGCTGTTTTCTTTATCTGCTCTTTTTTTGTCACTGCTTTGAGGTGCCAGCCTGTGTGACCCCAAACGCAGAGATCGAATTTCGAAGAAAACGCAAGAGAGGTTATCATATCTCAAGTTGCCGAAGAAGTTGAAGAAAAGCGCAAAAACGTGAAACACGCGAGGGAGAGGGGCAGTGTAAATTTGCAAAAGCAATCAGTCAAAGAAGCAGAAAAAGAGATATTTGCGGATGAGTGTCATTTGTTATAGATATTGCTTGACACATCAATCTTCCCCGTTTCTCAGCTCCCCTCATCCGGTGGTGCAAAAGCGAATTTTTACCTGCCGAGCACTCTGGGAAGATGTCCACGCATTTCTTCTGACACTCGTAGGCGGTCGCCTGCATCATCATCAGTGGGGAGGATCCTTCTGAAAATTGTGAGATAATGGAAGTCATGGGGTTACTGTAGGTAGTTATCCTAGTGATAAGGTTACTGTGAAAGTCATTTAATTTTTAGGTTACTGTAGAAGTCATCCGAATCTTCAGGTTACTGTAGAAGTCATCCGAATCTTTAAGTTACTGTAGAATGTCATTTAGTTTCAAGGTTACTGTACAATGCCATATTGAATAAATGAGTAATTTAAAAGACATGAACGAGTAATAAGAAAATCATATGATAAAAGCCCACCCATATTGAAGCTCAATTATCTCGGTTCCTGATCAAGATATCAAAAAATTATCAACCAATGAAATATTTCTGATGTGTCATGATGACTATGTTATCAGTTGACAAAATTGTTGTCTTTCACAGTAATCAAAATAATTGATTTCAAAGTTGACGGGTTCGAAGAGCTTTTTAAAGGAGAAATATGGTATGTGATACAGTGGGAACACTTCAAGCTCAATTATCTCGATTCATGTGAGAGGTGCCAAAATACTGTCAACTGACAAAAAATAGGTGATATTAAGATAAATAATTTATCAGCTGACAAGTTTTCAATATCTTTTACAGGAATCGAGATAATAAAGCTCAAAATTGACAGCCTGGGTGAGCTCCTATTAGAGAAAATACAGTATGTGATATAGAAGCAAAGAATAGATGACAAAAAAGTACCGAAAACTCGAAATAAAATTTCTACTGGAAATAAGAAGTTTTGGGAATTAAATAAAATTAAATCCCAAAGTCGAATTTCAACTCACCGAGAGCAGTGTTATTGTGCATTCTTGCGCACAAGTCATCAATTTTCGTGACATTCTTTCCTCTAGACACCGAGATTCTGCCTGAAAATTTAAAAAAAAATTGAATTAACAACGATTTCCCCACAACCCCTCAACACTCAATCACATTATTTTCAGAATCGAGATTCTTCTAGTGTTACCTATTACACACCCACCTCCCCCCCTATTATCGGCCTAAACCAGTTTTCCTGATATGATACTCACCTGCGTCGGCAAGGCAGAACAAGGCTGCCAAGGCAAGTAAGCCTACAGTAGCCTGCATGTTGCGGCTGGCAATGGACGTGGCTATGGGACCGCGGACACAAGAGTGCACAACGACACGACTGACGGTTGATAGTGGGCGGAGTCGAGAAACAAGCCGACGAGGGGGTTTATGAAAACGAAGAACATGAAGAAGGTGAGGAAGAAGAGTGAAAAAAGAAGATGAAGGTAGCTGAAACATCAAGAGAGCGAGATGAGAGATGAGAAGAAGGGGTTGAACACAACTGTAGTATAGTGAAAGCTAAAGAGAGGAACAAAACTTCTTATTTTATTTTATTTTTTGCTGCCTTCGAAACGAGAGAAAACACGGGCTAAAGATCGAAAAGAGTTGGGCTCAGGAGTACGTCAAGAGGAAAGGGGGGGGGGAACTCGGAAGCGGTAATAGATGCTCTAAACGTTTTCGAATGTCATTTCGAAAAGGTTCGAAGGGAGAGAGGGGAACATATATCAAAGAAGTAACATAAAAGAGAAGTGACAACCTGAAAGGGAGGAGTTGAAAAGGGCTTGTGTTGAGCGGACTACTGTAGTTCTGGAAATTGAAGTGATGCGATAAGTGCAGTTTAGAGAATGTCACTTTGAAGCGTCAAGAATTATCAGAGATCTTTTTTAAGGACCATAATCTAAAAATTGAAATTAAAAATCAGAAAGTTAAGGGCCGAGGGATCTCTTGGAACGCCTATTAGTGCATTCCGTAAAACCTGTAATAGACGGGCTTATCAATTTTGACTCAATTTATTGTCGTTTCTGAAAATTATACCAAAACGGGTCAAGAAATGATTACCGTAATATCGAGAGATTCATCATTTTTTACTGCCTTTTACAGTAACCCAAATAAATTGATAAAAATGAAAAAAAAACAATATTTCTACTTCAGGCTTTACCGTGGATCACTGTACATTTAACCCTTCAATCTACCGTGAAACCTGTAATAGAAGGACCTCCTAACTTTCAACTTTGATCTAATTTATCTCGATTCCTATGGAAGATATCAGAAATGTATCAACTAATAAATTATTTATCACAAAATCACCAATATTTTATCAGTTGACAACATTTTGATATCATTCACAGGAATCGTGGTAATTGTGCTCACAGATATGTTTCGAACTCTGTACTTCCCATTTTTTCAGTTTAGAACAAAGTTTCTACTTTTTTTTGTTGGTTTTCTATGACCGTAATCCAAGTTTTTTTATCCCCTTTTTTTTTTGAAAACCAAAAACGTCTGATCTGTTCCATATTCTGAAAATCCAATCCTCCTTTTTTAACTTTCCCAAAATCGCAACAAAATTATCTCTTCCTTCCCTGCGTGACGCAGAAACACTCATCAATTGCACTGCCAAGTGATATTTCATCCTCAGGTACTTTCTTTGCCCCACAACACAACACATATCTTCATTTAACACACACACTCATTTTTCATTGGTCGTTATTTATTGCACAGTTGTTCAATTCCCGCCTGGAGGTCCATCTCGGTCAGTTGTGTTTCCGGTGAAACTATACTATAATGTTCTTGATCTTCTGTTAAATTTGAAAGCCGGGTTTTGAAACAAAAACACAAAATGCAACATTTCATGATTTTTCTCTCTTCTCGTCAGAAAAGTTGAAAGATAAGTGACAAGTGATGATGAACATATCATATCTCAAGTGTTTTAATAAAAGTTTGGTGGCTCCGAGAGCAGATGACAAAGCATGAGACGACGCCTTTTTCCACGAATTTCTTGGAAAAGGGTTTCGACGAAGAAGAAAAAAAGTGAAAAGAGAAAAGAAAATTGAAGTTCATATGAAACATGAGACTTTTAGGAGGGAGCAAAACAGAAAGTTTGGGAAAATAGAGTCACGAAAAGAGATGATTGATAACTTGAGAATGAGTCATTTAGGATTTTTTTGAAGAAAAAATATGAAATGGTGAAACTTGAAATGATACTTCTAAATTTGTCAAGGGAAAAAAGATGCCACTGTGAATACTACTATAACATGACAATAATTTTAACTTCAGCGTTTATTTTTATTTGCTTTATCTGTTTTCTTTCGATGTTTCTGTTATTTGCCAAAAAGAATTGTATTGGAAACGCACGAAAATCTAAAAATGGATCCTGAAGATAAAAATATTTTTGGTTACTGTAGTTGTCGTTGTGGGACCTTTGATTACAGTCACCGGCCAACACGGATTTTTTAATCAGCATAATATCTCTCTTTTTTCATACTTCGATCAATTTCTGCCGCAATTTTCATCTCCAGACAGAAAATGCCACTTTTCTTTTCATTTTTCCTTGCCGATTGCATATCACTAATTTTTATTACACAATTTTTACGAATAATACGCAATTGAGAGCAAGAAATCCGATGCCCCATGTGACTTCCGTCAACAAAAATCAGTGTCAGCCTGAAGATTCAGAGAAAACATTCATTGAAAATACATATATACAAAAAATGGGAATTTAGAAAAAAAAACCTAAATGGCTAGACACCTGCAGTCGTACAACGTGTTGTAGGTATAACGGAAGTTCATACATCGACCAGGGCAATAACCTTCGGGATCCATGCATTTTCTAAAGTCAAGAAGTTTTTTGGAAGCGATTTTCGAGTAATTCCATACCTCGTGAAAGTATTAAAACCGCAGATGTGAGGTGCTAAAGTTCCACCTTGAACATTCGGCACCGGATTGTAGTCAGGCACAATACCAGATCTAATGTTGCCCTGAAAACTAAACTTCTAAGAGAAAGTTGAAATTCGACTCACTTGGTTAGCTCCATACCAATGATTTGGTGCGTAGGGCCATTGTGATAAAGTGGAACTGATCAACAAGAAAGAGATGTAAATTTTAATGAAAGCCATGGGGAATGAAAAAAAGGGAAGCGATGAAGATGTTGACGGGTAAATGGCAAGAGGGGGAGGTGGTGAACACGAAGATTGATGGCGTCATATGCGAAGGTGACATGAATTTTTTTTTGTAATCTGTGAGGGTTCAAATTCTTTTTTCAGATGAAGCGGAGAAAGAATCCGGTATTCTTGAACTTTGATACAACAAGGAGATCAATAGTGAAAAATGAGATCAAGTTATGAATATTTACCGTTAATTGTGATTGTATTGTTTACTGAAATACGTATAAATAATCTTATCAATAAGTCTTGATATTAATAGGAGAAACCTTTTGTCAGTATATCACTTTTCAGTAATTTGTACAGAAAAATAACAAGTGGACAGTGAGGAATTCATCAAGGATGTGTGGAACTCTTCAAAAGTTGAAATTTCGGAATTTTCGGAATTTTTTAAATTATTTGATCTCCGTGGTCTTATAGCCAATAGAAAATCCACAGCACCGGTCCACGAAATATACTAAATAAATTTCAGTTTATTTTCGTTCAATTTTATCATTTTCAGGAGCCTAAAGCTCGGCTGTCAAGTTTCCATACACTTTGAAAACTTTGCATAATGTAAAACATACCTAGATTGAAAACTTCACAAACTTTTTCGAAAATTTCTAGTGTTCTGGCTATTTGCCGATTCCTGAAGGACACCTGTTTTTTACCGTTTTCAGTGCGAAAACATAAAAAAGTGGTGTCTTTCGGAAATCGGTGAGTAGCAGAAGAACTCGGAATTATTCAAAAAATTCTGTAAATGCAAATTTTTCAATCTAGGATAGTTTTATACCTTCCACAAATTTCAAAGTGATCGGAAAAATTACAGTCGAGCTCTAGACTTCTGAAAATTCTCAAAAATGACCAAATATCAACCGAAACATATGTTTAATCTGTTATCAGCACGTTCCAAGTCGTGTCCTTCCTATGTTAGGGTTGAAATGGAAAGTGTCAAAATCGTGTCATGAACATCACGAATTTAAATGTCGTAGATGGTCTCGAGAAAAACCAATCCTTAAAAATAAAATGAAAAGTGACGCAAGCGTTACTGTGATAAAAACGTCTGTGTCTTGATGGGGTGAGTATCAATCTGAAAGATATGCTCAAGTTTGCAGACAGAGAAGGGGAAATGCTGATTATTCCTGTAATTTTGTGAAAAACCTATGTTTTTCTGGTACAAAAAAAGCGGTGCTGTAAAAAAGAAACACCGCTGGATTTTGCCGAAAGTCCCACATTAATCAAATACTGTAACCTGAAAACCTTTAAATCTTCATAGTTTCCAGATTTCTTGTTTGCTGTGCACTGCTTTTTGGTCAGTTTTCTGATATTTTTTTCAGTCAACTCAGAAAATGAAAATTTTGTTACCAGCTCCGTTTTTTGTACCAAAATGATATTACAGGTTTCACCCGCGTAGATCAGCCGGTAACCATTTTCTGGAAAACGGATCAGAGAGAGCCCATTTAGTGGACAGGTCCTCCACATAAACTAGGATGTCCTTCGATGGTCTTTTTTTAGAATATGCGAGTTTCCAACATGTCTAGACAGGTCTTGGATAGAAATGGTACATTTTGGAGGTCAAACCTCATCAAAAGCCTTTTGGGAACATAGATCGGATGGAACCCATATGATGAACAAAGCGTTCACAAATTTTTGATCTGTCTAGATAGGCCATGGGCAAGAATGGTACATAGTGGTGATGATCAAACATTACCAATAGTCTTTTGGATTGGATGGAGCCCATCTGGCGGACAGGACCTCCACATATATAAGCTCCAATTCCCTCCAATTGCCTCCTTTTTCGAACAGGCCTTGATTCTTCAAAAACTGAATTCCAAGAGGTTTGAAGAAGTTTCCCAGTTTTTTTCTTCAAAAGTTTCTTCCTAAGCACATATTTGACCTTTCACATCATCAACCAAAATGGGAACTGCTTTTTTCTAGTGCAAACTAAAACAACCTTTTTTCTCTTTTAGAATCATTTTTTATCCGGTTGGGTACAGTAAAACACCATTAAACTAGGACGAGCATTTTTAAAATGTACTTTTTCGCCCAGTTAACGACAATGCACTCTTATTTAATCATTAGATTTTTTAGATTCTTTTGTCTCAAACTTTCAGAAGTTTTACACAGTATGACTCATTAAATATCTTTTTATAAGTTTTCTAGATTTAGTCGTTCACTATTTACTGTTGAATCATTCAAAAAATCAAACTTAAAACCGCACATTTCAAAATAAAATAGAAGTGTACTCAGTTAAAAAGGTAAAACTACGCAAACAGAACATATAGTGAATAATTATAGATCGGTGTGTGGAGCAATCAAAATCGTTTAATGGCTTTTCTCCTTCTCTACATTTTGAAAACGGCCAAATACAGAAACATCAAATTGGTTTTTCTTCTCCCCCTTTTTTGTCACTTTTCTTCTTTAATTTTGATAGTTTTTCATCTTGATTTTTAGAGTAATATTTCTTATACCTTGATGAATATACTGAAAAGGGTACCGCCTTGGGTAATGGAGGGAAAAAGGGAGAGAGGGAGAGAGTGTCTTGTACATATTTTAATTGTCGTTTTCCCTTATCAATGTTTTAGACGATGCACAACTTTCTAGATCCCTTTATTCGTTTTGTCTGGGCCTCACCTTCATTTTCAGCCTCCTCAGATTATTTTGCATACATTTTTGAAAAATCGAATTTATGCAAAAAAAATCGAGAACTGTTTCCCATGAAGCCGAAACTTCCATCTCGTTTTTCCCATTCATCGTTTTCTTCTTTTTCGCACTTTTCGAAGCAACACTTTCATCCTCTCTATCTTTTTTATTTCCAGAAAAATATTTCATCCGGTTTTGGCGCTTCTTACCGTAATCCCACCTTCTAGTATTTTCAATGAGGGCTCACTGGATTCAGCTGGTGGTTACCTGCCTGCTGATCACCTATGGATGTTGTCAGGATGTTGCCATGGATTCTAATTCCAGTTTAATCGAGCAGACTGATCGATCGGACCTGCTTGGACAGATGATGGAGAAAGTTAACGATTTAAAAATGACTGAGTGAGTTTTAAAGCTAATTGATGAAATTCGGTAACTGAAATTTTTCAGAGATGAGCTCAAAACGTTCCTCCATCTCCTTAAATCGAATGTCTCTGATGATTATTCCGATGAGCACGTTTTGGAAGAGCATGGTCACGCCGCTGGAAACGATTCATCCCACGGAGGATTTCACGTCTTCTCGTTCCATTGGGAATACGTGAAAAACGACATGGTTCTCGTGCTATTTTTCATTGTTATCGGTTTATTCAAACTTGGTATGTTTAGAAGGGGAAAAAGCGTTTTTACGTGGGTATTGTGCACTCAGCTGGCGCCTTTGCAGTTCCTCGCCTTTTCATCTCGCCGCGCTGCATGAGTCGAAAGAAAATGGAAAGCACAAGATTTTTGAACTGTTTTTTGAGGTATCAAACATTCAGATGATAAGGTGATAGGGTAGGGCGTTAGAGGAATTTCTTAAATTAGGAATGTCACCGTAAAATTTAAGATGGAAGGGGTTTCGTACTGTCAACGTTGACCTAATTCATCTCAGTTTCTGGGAAAGATATAGAAAAGAAGTTCATTGAAAAATGTTTTTCATGATATCCAAAAAAACATACTTGCAACGGGCCGGGCCTTCAAAAAATTGGTCAAAGCCCGGCCCGGCCCGGCCAGTTGGCGCCAGCTTCGATTTTTGGGCAAAAAAGTGTTTTTTTTTATGGGGAAGTAGTGGTATTTATCATTTAATTTCGGGCTAAATTGTGAATATTGAATTTGTAAATGTTTAAACAAATTTTTGAAAAAAAAAATGTTTTTTCCTAATTTTTTCCAAAGTTGATATCGAAGAAAAAATTGCATTTTTGAAGCAAAATAACAGTTTTCTCTCGAAAACTAGTTTTTTTTGTTAAAAAATGATCAAAAAAAAATTTTTTTTGAGAAATTTCGACCAAAAAATTCTTGTCCGGGCCTACCGGGCTTTCGGTGCCGGTCCGGGCTTTCAACGATTTTTGCAAGTATGCAAAAAAATTTTGTTTATAATTTCTTGAAATTTGAGAGGACTCGGGATACTTTGAGTCAAAGATGACAACCAGCAGTGTGCGGAATGGAATTCGGAATTTCATATCTTCCGTAATTCTGGGGAATGTTTGAATCAAAATTCCGTGCTCAATAATCCGAGAGAAAGTTTTAGAAATGAAGCTTGTGCCGGAATATCCCGTGCAAAATATTACAGTCGTTTTGGTCAAATTTCGATTTTATAATCTTTCAAAAATCAGTTACAAATAACGATGAATACGAAAATTCGGCATACTTCAAAAATTTCGATTTTACAAAATATTTCATTTGGAATATTTCGTAATTTGTAATTCCGTTTTCAGAAAATATTTGGCAACGGTATAAATCATATTTGCAACGGGGAGAGCCGAGCCAAAAGTTTCGAATTTTTCAAAATTTAGTTATAATTTCAAAAATCCTAAATCTAGAATTTTTGAGATTTTACCCATGTTTCTAGTTTTTTTTTTCGAAAAATTGCTGAAATTTCTTTTTTTCAAACTTTAAAAATTCAAAACCACTGAACTGCAATTTTCCAATTATGCAATATATCGAAACAAAAAGTTAAATTGTTTAAGGTTATCACCACACCCGATTCACCAAGAAAATCCTCCCGGAATCCTGCTGCTTGATTATCATTGGCGTCATTTTCGGATTCTTCTTTATGTGAGCCGTTCACAATTCCAAAATGAAAAACCCCTCTCTCGTTTCCAGCGGAGATGACACTCATCAATCCATCAAATTCCTGGAATTCAGTACAAAAGTCTTCTTCTTCTACCTCCTCCCACCAATCATTTTAGAATCTGCGTACTCATTGAAGGATCGAGCATTTATCGATAATATCGGAACTATTCTGCTTTACGCTGTTTTGGTAACTCCTCGATTTTTAAGTTCAATCGGAAATTTTATTTTCAGGGAACTGTTCTGAATATTGTTCTCCTTGCTGCAGCCCTCTTGATCCTTATTTGGGTTGGAGTCATGGGAGAGATCAATCTGAGTGCCATGGACATCTTCACCTTTTCCTCTTTAGTCGCCGCTGTTGATCCTGTAGCCGTTCTTGCAGTTTTCCAAGAAGTCAGTGTCAATAAAATGCTTTACTTCATGGTTTTCGGAGAGTCCTTGTTCAACGACGCAGTCACCATCGTCTGCTACAATCTTGCTATTGAGTTCCAAACTCTTCCAGAATTCACTTGGTTTCATGTGAGAAAAAAAAAGTGAGGCTAAAAATAGAAACTTCTATTTTAGGGCCTTCTTGGATTTGTCAAATTCGCTTGTGTTGCCATTGGTGGTTTGATTATCGGTCTGATTTGTGGTGCAATATCCTCATTCATCACGAAATTCACCACTGACGTCAGAGGTAGGTCCCACAGAAAGTTTAGTCGAGTCGAACTTTTTTTTCAGTTGTGGAGCCTGTTATCCTTTTCGGAATGGCGTATCTGGCTTATTTGACCAGCGAAATGTTCCATTTCTCTGGAATCATTGCTCTAATCGCTTGCGGATTGTTCCAAACTCACTATGCATGCTGTAACGTGTCCTACAAATCCTTCACCAGTGTCATGTACATCACAAAAGTTGCCAGTACTCTCTGCGAGTCTCTCATCTTCATCATCCTTGGAGTCATGCTGGTCAATGAGCGAGAATGGTTCTGGGAGGATTGGCATCCGGTGTTCTCCGCGGTTTCTGTCATTCTTTGTGTGGTTGTGAGATTTGGGGTGACATTCTTCTTGACCTACATTGTCAACAAGTTCACAGGAGGAGTCCGTCATATTTCTTTCCAGGAGCAGTTTATCATGGTTAGTTAATTTGATAGTAGAACCTAGCAACGGTCAATATATTATACGAAAAAATATTTTAAATTTCAATTTCGGCCAGTTTGACAATTTTCAAGAGTCAGGAGCTCAGATTCCAAGTTTCCAATCACTTTGAAAATTTTGAAGGGTGTAAAACAGACCTTGACTAAAAGTTTTGCATTCACAGAATTTTTTGGAAATTCGATTTCCCATTATTCTCAAAATTCGATTTCTAGTCAGAATAGCCAAAAATTCTAGTCAGAATAGCCAAAAATCGGTTTGAAAATACGTTTTTAAAAATCTCAATGACCAATGAAATTTTAAATTTTCACAGAGTTACGGAGGTCTTCGAGGAGCCGTGTCGTTCTCTCTCGCTTTTATGATCACTTCTAGCGCGGATGTCAAAAACACTATTTTGGGTGCGACGTACGCTGTGATTCTGTTCACTAACATCCTTCAGGTATTTTGAAACGTTGTATTATTCAAAATTTCTGAGTGTTCAGGGCTCCACTATCAAACTCTTCGTGAAATGGCTCAATATCCGATTAGCCAAAAAAGATGATCATTTCCGATTGTTCAATGAGTTCAACAGTGGAATGGTTCACCATCTGTCCCAAGGAATTGAAGGAGTTTGTGCCAATAAGAACATGAGTATCATTGTGAGCTCTCGGAATTATTATGCATGGAAATTATTGATTTTTCAGAACAAGTGCAGTGACTTCTCCAAAAAATATGTGCGTCCAATACTGGAGAAGAATTATGATGCTAATGCAAAGAAGGAAGGCAAGTTGGTTGAGTTGAATAGAGCGGTGGCCATGAGGTGAGCTACAGTAATCCTGAGTCTCACTGTATGTTTCATAATTTGCAGAGAAGCGCTGAACAATAGTCCATCTCAAAGTTCATTCAAAAGACAACAAACTCTTGATGAGATGGCAGAAAGTGGTGCACTTCCACATGACTTAATGGACGAGGATCATCATCATGCCGGAAAAGTTCACACGGACCGAGAGGAAATTGACGAACGTGCTAATGAACTTCTCAAAGACGTCTCCACAATTCGTTCTCTCATGAACAATCCATATGAAGAGGTAATTTGAGAAAAAGTGATAAGAAATCAAACTATTTTTATCTTCTCAGTGCTACCTGGACCGCAATTTGACGCACGAGGAGGAAAAAGAGAAGGCTAGAGCGAAAATGAAATCATTGAAAAGTCGGGCGTTTAACATTTCGTCTGTGTAAGTTGAATGAATCAAAAGGTCAAGTCAAGGATCTTTTGAATTTCAGAAGGAAAACAATTGGATTCTTCGGAAAGAAGAAGTCGGTTCGTCGGAATGCTACTCAACAAGGTCTTATCCATTCTGCAATTGCTACACTTGGAGTGCAATCAGTCGACCGACCGTCAACATCGAGTAGGTTAAAACCCGGAATAAAATACGCAGGAGCAAATAAATGTCAATGTCAAGTAGCTGTGGTCTATCCGTATTCGCAATTCTGCTCGCTTATCATTGGACGTTTGAACAAACTGTTGTTTTAAGATAAGAGAAGAAGAATGCGTAACTTTTGGTGGTGATGTGTGTTGTGGTGGGAAAAAATAGGGAGGGAGATTTGCATATATACGTAAAAAAGTGTTGAAGGCTCTCATAATATTTTTGGCAAAAAACTCTTCAATGTAGAAATAAATGATTATCAGATAAGAAAAGATGAAAAAAGTACAAAAATATAAACATAGGGTACTTGAGTAAGGCTTATCGATTTTACGGATATTCCTGGGTTTCAGATTTTTTAAATTAAAAACATATTCCTAGCTATTCGAATCTTCGGTATCGTGAATTTTTGTGATGAGGATCGAAAAAAAATTACTAGAGTAAGGGAAGATTATTTTGAGCATTTGAAATTTTCGTGAATTTTGAAATTAACTAATTGATTTTTGGATTTTTCAGAGTTTCTGAATTTCTCGATACAGAACTTTTTAGATCCTCAAAACATTGATTCCTGTTTTCCCAAATTCCTTAGTTTCTGAATTTCTGGGTTCTTGTATTCCTGGATTTTTTCGTTTTCTAGGAATCCTTATTTATATTTTCGTGGGTTTTAAGATTCCCGGATTTCTGAATATCTGGATTCTTGGATACCTAGGTAACTGTATACCTGGATTTATGAAGTTCGGGATAACTGGTTTCCTGGACTCCTGGATTTCAGGAATCCGGGGGTTCAGAATTCCTTATTTCAGGAATTTCAAAATAATCAAATTGTTGCATTTTGATGTTACAGCTGATATTACACCTATCTTTTTCATTTTAGCAAGTTCTAGATTTCATCCACATGAGCTCCTTGGATCCAATAGAACCAATAATTTTCACTTTTGACATATTTATTTTTAACATATTTATTTCAGCTCGAGTCAGTGTTGAAGACGAAGAGCAAGGGCTCACAATGCGCGAAATGGAGGAAGAACACCCGCTGATGACAATAAAGGAAACCGAGGAGACATCATTCTGATCACCGCTCATTTTTGAAAAAAACCTATAATTTATTCATGAATCACCAACTTTTCTTTGCTTTATTTTTGCCCCCCCCCCCCTCCTTCAAACAAAAACTATGATCGAGCCTTCAAACCTTCCCAAGTTCTTCTAATTTTTTCACGTTCCCTTTCTTATGGTTTCCGTGGGTTGTTCAACTTTTCAAATATCTTAAATGTCACAACATTGAAATAAAAAAAATGTTTCAAACCCGATCGCACACACGAATTCCGACGATAAACGAATAAACCCAATAACTCAACTCTCCTCGTCTTCCGGCATCCTTCGCTTCCTCTTACTCAGTCATCATTATTCTATCGTATCGTGAAGAACATGCTGACATGCCAATTAGATATAGTTGGTGCATGGAATGCCATAGTTGGTGCATGGAATGCCAATGAGTTTTTGAAATTTGGGGGGACACGCCTTCCCCCTGCGCGACTTCCTATCATTCCGGCTACTTCGTTTTCTGTGGTTCCGAGGCATTTTGCCATTTTTTCTCTATATTATAACACAGAAATTGAGTCATGAGCTTTGATGGAAATTACTTAGGGACATTTGGCGCCAGTAATTTTGTATCTAGAACAATAGAGGCGAATTAATAGGTTTCAGGTTATAAAACCATTTCTAGTGTTTTCGAATATGCATTTTCTAATAGAACAAATTCTGAAAATCAAGACAATATTATTTGAATTTCAGAATGTTTGTTATAAGAAAAACATATTAAAAAACCCTAAATCTGCTTTTGTAGTCTGAAACTCATCCATTTTCTTGTAGCAAAGTGTCAATTACCCTTTTCCGTCATACCACTTGACCTAATTTCTACATTTCTCTTGTATTGATATTTTTTTCCATTTCAGATCCCAGACAGAACATCACTTTTTGTTTTTCGTCTTTTTAATAATCTAAATAACCTTGACTGCCCTTCCAAAAACTTTCAACTACGATTTTTCATCCGGGTTTTAGAGCTTTTATCCTTAATACTATAACCCTCTCTCTAAATCGGTTCCGCCCCAGAAAAGTGGAAAAAAAGTAGAAAAAAAGTTGAAAGGTATATATTTCCAGAGTCCAGCTACATTTTTCACAATTCCCATCATGCTTTTACGTGGCGTTTGCTTGGTTCTTCTTATTCTCTCAGCCATTGTGCTCTGCCAAGAGCCCCATGAGCTCCAGATGGAGAAGCGGAGAATAGGTGAGTCTAGATTTCCAATTGAAGCCAAATTTAGTATCACAATAATTTTTATTACGGAAGTTTTTTCAGGTCTCCGTCTCCCCAACTTCCTTCGTTACAAGGATCCCGAGAACCTGAATGTGCACAAGCGTCGGATCGGATTGAGACTTCCCAATATGCTGAAATTCAAGGATACCAGCAACATGTATCATTTGGAGAAGCGGCGAATGGGCATGCGACTTCCCAACATCATCTTCCTCCGTAACGAGAAGAAAAACGTACTGGAGTACTAACTTTTTTTGATGATAATGCTTTAAATCTCCTTTCTTTTCATTCTTTCCGATTTTCATTTTTAATAAAGCTGTCATCAAATGTTAGTCATCAAAAATTGTGGGCTTCCTCCAAACCATATATTTCATTTAGAAAAGAAAATAGAAAAATACGGTTTTCGGGAAATAAAGGGAATATGGTCATAAAACAGGGACGGAGGGAGATGCATTTTTCCTCCTTTTTTCCAACACAGCAGCACCGTCAGCGGCACGAGGTGCCTGCTTTGTCTCTCTGTGCACTCTCTCCACACCTGTAATCAAAAATCGATGTGATATATATGCAAATCGTGTATTGTCTTCCCATCGCTTCTCTTCCCCCCGTTCCACTCGCTCCTCTTCTCCTCATTTCTTCACTTTTCTGAACTAGAAAACGTCGGCACTCTTCTTTCTTCCACCTCTGGAAACCATGGCTCCTCGCAAGAATCGTGGAGTCAGTCAGCTCTCGAAAATGATCATAGAGAGAAATAACTCTCTTGTCTGTAGCTTCACCAGCTTGCCAAGTGGAATGTTCGGTTTCCAAAAGGTGAGCCACTCTAGATTTTTCTACTGGAAGCTCTAAAATTTTTCCAGTTCCTTCTGAATCTGAGTCTGTTGGTCGATATCGTCTTCATCGCTGGTTGCCTTCTCAACTATGTCAGTTTCCATGTTGGATATAATTTTTACGGTAAATTCTTTAATTAGCCAGAGAGTCATATGTGATGCTTAGAAGATTCAGCTGTTTCGGTGTCGTTCGTCCACGTCGGAGCTGTCTTTGTCTGCATTGTGATCCTTATTTCGACAGTGTATGCTTCCTATGGGCTGGTTGTGATGAATCTTCGCAAGCTTTGCTGCGTGCTCTTTATCTGGGTGAGTTGGGCTTGATTAAGAATCCTATTTACTCTCCAAAAAGAAAGCGAATTTCGCAATTTTTGTTTTTTCTGGAAACTTCTGAGAACAAATTCCCAAAAATTTTTACAAGTATTCACCAGGGAACGGAATTTCAAATTCCGAAAATTCAAAGCGTTTTTTGAAAAAAATTTGGAGTAATTCCAAAACTTTTTTCAGAATTGCAGTTTTTTGAACCAGGGAATATCAAATGCGCACGCGAAAAGTTTCCTTGCTAGTCTTGAGCAAAAATATGTTTTGATTTTTTGAAAACTGTTTGTCTTTTTTTTTCCGAAATTCCGAAATAAACCAAAACTTCGATATTTTAGAAATCGAAGAAACCAAGAGATTCCGAAAATTAAAAAAATCAAAATTTTTAGTGTTTCCGAAAAATTCCGAAAGTTATTTTGAACATCGGAACATCTTGAACTTTGAGCTCAATTATCTCGGTTCCGGCTCTATCTGAGTTTAATGGTCCCATGGGATTTTAGTGTTCCTATAGGAATTTAGTGGCCCCATAAGAGTTCAGTGGTCCCATGGGATTTTAGTGGTCCCATGGGATTTTAATGGTCCCATACGAGTTTAGTGGTCCCACGGCTAGGCAAATGCTAGTAACACTATACAGAAACATGAAAACGACAATACAGTGCTCCAAAAAATGTACTTCCACTCTGATAACGTGAGATTTGAGAACTTTCGTTGGAGCTTTGATGAATCTATTTGAAGCTTTGAACTTGAAGAGTTTTTAAGATTTTGACCCCTATACATAGAGACCCATATGTATACATGGGTACTGAAGACATGCGCTGCTTCAAACCATATCTGAGACATCGGCATGTTATGGGACCTGTAGACTCCCATGGGACCACTAAATTCCAATGGGGCCACTAAACTCAGATCGAGCCCCTTAAATATAAGTTTTTTTTAATTGCGGTAATTATCGTTCTGAGACCTTCCCACCTTTTTTCAACTTTCTTATGTCAGTCTTGCTCTATGAAATTTTTCTTACCAAAATTTTCAGTTCGGACACCTTGCTTGCGCTGTTTTCTTCCTCATCGCCGTCTTCATCGCATGGATCCGTGACTTCAACTTTGACCCATTCTCCATCCAACAATCCACTTGCCGCTTCACCCGTATTCCTGATGCCTGTGACGTCTCGCTCAAGCAATACCTGGTATACCCTTTTTGTTATACAACACTGGGCCCTTTTGTTTGTTTTAAAACTGTTTCCAGGCCGCCGTCTCTGCATTTGTCATCGGACTCGCTGCTTTTAAATTCGCACAAATTCTGTGTCTCCGCGCTTTGTGCATCTTTAGTCAGGAAGTGTTCCAATATGTCGACTGCGAGGCCTTCTATAATCGCTGGTGTGTAATCCGGCCTTATATAACGATTTTAACATTTCTTCAGCCTCACTGAGCCGGATGTTCGCCGTCGCAAAGCTGCAAAACGTGCTCAAAAAGATGCCGATCCCTCCAGCACCAACGCCGACGATAGTGAGAGTGACGATGAAGATGTAAGGATCCTATTTTTGACATTTTACATTTCCTTCTCTTTTCAGATGGTTGTTTTCGAGCGTGTCACCGGCCGCTACCCGGGAGGCAGTGGAATCAAAGACAACAGCATCGCCTGAATGATTGATTGTCTGTGACGTGTTATGAACTTTGTGAACATTCCCAAATTGTCTTCGTCTAACTTTTATTATACATTGAAAAACAAGCAAGAATGTACAGAAAATCTACAGTAAGACAATTAACAAAAATTAACAAAAATTGCAACTCTTCCGGCAGTTGCTTCTCATCCAAACATTATGATTCGGATTGTTGCAAAGATCTTGTAAAGCCCAAGCACCACAGTAAACATTCTTATCATCACATCCTAAAAATCAAAATCCAGAATTAAAAATATTTAAAACAAATTCTCTCACCAGTCGATTTGCAGTACATCTTATTGAGTATTTCCACATCCTGAGCGCTCATCTTCGCTCGTTGTCCAAGTAATCCAATGTTGGCTTGCTGGTTGACCAGAGGGATCATTGTTGGTTTTGCAATGTTCACGGCGGCAGTGTAAGCATTGTAGTGCATGATACTGTCATAGGCATACTTGACACCATAGGTGGTGTAGAGCTTGGAATCGGCAGCGACAAAGGCGTCGTACTGTTGAGGGTTGATGTTGCTCCAGTCGATCTGACAGAGATATGGGAAGTGAAAATTACCTGACATGTAAAAGTAGATAGGAAAACATTCAATCTGAAGGAGGAATTGCGCCACTTTATGACTTTTATGATCGCGTGTTAAACTTACTGTCTTATGAGTGAATTTACGGTCCCTTGAGAGAATAACGACCCCACATGTAAAATGCGAACGGACCCGTTACGGACTCACTTAAAAGACAAGAAAACTTACAATCAACTTTTTTATTTGCTCTTGTTTCCGGTTGATGTGATCACAATCAACAACTGTTTGAAAAATACATGACTTGAAGTTTAATTTTGTAATTTTGATATTTTCTGCCCACGTGTTAATGATTCAGCTTATGATTGAAGCGTGCAGATCATGTGCAATAATGCACTAATTCAACTCTCCGCATGCTTAATTTTGAATCAACAATGAGTTTTAAAAAATAAAAAAATAAAATAAAAATCTGCGTTCGGGGGGAATCGAACCCCCGTCGAATGCTTGGAAGGCATCCATGCTGACCATTACACCACGAACGCGCCACAAACTTCCTATGTCTTTTCCAAATGACAAGAGTGTGAGGGAGACACACACACACACACTTGCCTTCTTTTTTCTCCTCTGTGCGGATCTCTGCCTTTTTCC